AGTGTATTATGCTGCAAATGTATGTGTGAGTGAAAGCTGACGACAGCTTGTTGGGAAATGTATGTGAATGGACGCGCAACAGCTTGTCGAAAATGGATGTGAACGAAGGGTTAAAAATGGCGGGGCGGGGAGTCGTAGGTGAACAAAGCGCCGGTGGAAATGTATGCAAAATAAACAAGAGGAACGGGAATCGCCTGGAATGAAACGGGAATGGCGAGATTTTGAAAGGTCCTGAAATAGGAATGATAGTTTCAGGGAAGATTCGACGACGAAATAACAAAAGATGAAAGCGAGAAGAGGAGAGAGGAGAGGATAGCGAAGAGAGGAGAGGAGAGGAGAGAGATTCGAAAGAAAGGCGAGGCGCGCTTGCATCGGGATTAATGGAAATCCGATGAACAACGGGATGGTCACTGTTCCGGACTGAGGAATGAGGAAGGGGGGGGGAGCTGTTCCGTTCCGTTCCTCTGTCCAGGAAGTTAGAGCAGCAGGAAATAGAGGGGGGAAAGCTGACGAGAGAGAGAGGCAGAGACAGAAAGAGACAAAGACATAGAGAGAAAGAGACAGAGACATAGAGAGAGAGACAGAGAGACATAGAGATAGAGACAGAGAGAAATTGATAGAGACAGAGAGAAAGAGAGACAGAGACATATATATATAGAGAGAGAGGGAAAGAGATAGAGACATAGAGAGAAAGAAACACAGACATAACGAGAGAGAGAGAGAGAGAGAGACAGAGACAGAGACATAGAGAGAGAGAGAGAGAAGGATCTAAAGACTAAAGAGCCTTTGGGTGAACATTGTAAAACGTAGAACTACATGAGAAAGAAAAGTTAAAAGTCAAAGCAAAAAAAAAGATAAATAAAAAAATAATAAAAAAATAATAAAAAAATAAAGTCATACATATAAAAAGATATCTATATATAAATAACCGAGAGGGGAATAGACGGAACACAAAGCGAGGAATAACAACTACCCTCCAGAACAAGAGACAAAAAAAAGGAGGAGGGAAAAGTTAAATGTAAACAAGAGGAACGGTGGAACAAATCAATGCAGAAATGGGATTCCCCTGAAAGAGCTATTTATTGACAGACCGAGACACAAAGACACTTCTTGGATTATCAGTAAATACATTGCAATGCCGTGTGCAAGGTACGAGGAACGAGGAGGAGGGAGAGGGGAGAGGGAGAGAGAGAGAGAGAGATGAGGAGAGAGGAGAGAGAGAGAGAGAGAGGGAGGAGGGAGGGAGAGAGAGGGGGGGAGAGAGGGAGAGAGAAGAGGGAGGAGGAGAGAGACAGGAGAGAGGAGGGAGGGAAGGGGGAAGGGATGAGAGGAGAAAAAGAAGAAGGGAAGGGGGGCAGAGGGCAAGGAAGGGAAGGGTAGAGAGGGAAAGGAAAGAGGAGGAAGGCGGGAGAGGGAAAGGAAAGAAGGGAGAGAAAGGGAGAAAGACAAACAGAGTGAGACACAAAAGACAGAGCCATGAAGTAGCATTGCGGGATAGTAAGAAATGCATTTAAGAATACCCCCTCCTCCCCCTCCCCCCGATCCCCCAACCCCGACGCTAACCCCCCCCAAAAAAAAAAAAAAGAAAAAAAAAAATACTATATAATAATAATGAATAAATACACAATAGATAGAAATAATAATAGACATGGCACAACGTCACACACCGACCGTGCATCCCGACGAGACGTCGTGACCCCGACAGACGGCAGCGGCTGGAAAAGGGAACCTTTAAGAACGAACAGTCCCCCTCCCCCCTCCCCCCGCGTAAATCGCGCGCTTCCTCTCTCTCTTCTTCCCCCCCCTCCCCCCCCCCTCCCCCTTCTCCCTCACCTAGCTCTCCTCCCGCTCCCTCCCCCCCCTCTCCCCTCTCTCCCCACTCTCCTCCCCCTCCCCCCTCCTCCCCTCCCTCCCTCCCTCTTTCTCTCTCCTTCTCTCTCTCTCTCTCCTCCGTCCTCTCCTCTCTCTCTCTCTCCTCTCTCCTCCCTCCCTCTTCCTCTCTCTCTCTCTACCTCTCTTCTCTCTCTCTCTCTCTCTCTTCTCTCTCTACTCTCTCTCTCCCCTCCCTCCCTCCCTCCCTCCCTCCCTCCTTCCCTCCTTCCCCTCCTTCCTCCCTCCCCCCTCACCCCCTCCGACCCTCTCCACCCTTCCCCCCCCCCCACCTCCCTCCCTCCCTCCCTCCTCCCTCCCTCTCCCACCCCCTCCCCAATTCCCTCCCCCCTTCCCCCTCCCTCCCTCCCCTTCACCCCCCTTCCCCCCCTCCCCATCTCCCCTCTCCCCATTCCTCGTGTCAGGGGAAGAGTGAAAGCATTAGGCAAGCGACACTAAGAACCTCCCCATCCGACGACAATGCTACACGAAGGCCGGCGGAGGCATAGACGGCGGGTATGAATAAAACATGTGTGAACAAAGACTCTGGAGAGAGAGAAGGGGAAAAAAAAAGAAGTCTTTAAGAAGTAACATTGAAAGCTCAAGAGAACAGGAGAGAGAGGAGAGGGGGAGAAAGAGAGAGGGAGGAGAGGGAGAAGAGAAGAGAGAGAGGAGAGAGGAGAGAGACAGAGAGAGGGGGGGAGAGAGAGAAAGAGAGAGACAGAGACAGGGAGAGAGAGAGAGAGTGAATGAGAATAAGAGAGAAAAGACGAGAAAGACACAGAAAGAGAGAGAGAGAGAGAAAGAGTCCGAAAGATCGAGAGAGAAAGAGTCCGAAAGATCGAGAGAGCGAGATCAAGAGCGAGAGCACGAGTAAAAGAGAAAAAGAAAGGAGATAGAGGAGAAAAATGGAAAGAAGAAAGTGATTCGCGCCAACCCCGAAAACACGTGCAGGTCGGGAAGACTAGAAAAACGCTCCAAAAGTGCTTTCTTGAACAGTATGGGAAAAACAGGGAGGGAGAGGAGAGAGGAGGGGGGTGAGGAGGGAGAAGGGAGGAGGAGGAGGAGGATGATGGGGAGAAGGGGGTAAATGTTGTTTACCTCGTTTCTTTATTCTCGTCTTTTCTCTCTCTTTCTCTCTTCTCTTTTTCTTCTCCCTTCCTCCTCTTTCCTTCTCCCCCTCCCTCCTTCCTTCTTCACTCCTTTCATCCTCCCTCTTCCCCTCCTTTCCTCTTACCCTCCTTCCCCCCTTCACCTTCCCTCCTTCACCCTTTCCTCCCTCCCTCCTCCCCTCCTTTCCTCCTTACCCTCCTTCCCTCCCTTCCACCTTCCTCTCCCTTCCACCTTCCTCTCCCTTCTACCTCCTTCCTCCAACCTTCCTCCCCTCTCCCTCCCTTCCACCTCTCCCTCCCTTCCTCTCCATTCTCTCTCTCTTCCTTCATTCGTCTCAAGCGTACAGACACAAAGCCTTGGTAGTCCTGTCACATATCCTCTCACATGTTGTCTTCCCGCTGTCATTTATGTCAAGGAAGCTGTGATGACAGGTAATAAAATGGTAATAGTAATGATGGTGATGGTGGTGGTGATGATAGTGGTGGTGATGGTGTGGTGGTGGTGTGATGGTGATGATAATGTAATGATGGTGATGGTGCCTTGATGCTGATGATAATGATGGTGATGATGATAGTAATGATGGTGATGATGATAGTAATGATGGTGGTGGTGGTGATGATAATAGTAATGATGGTGGTGGTGGTGATGATAATAGTAATGATGGTGGTGGTGGTGATGATAATAGTTATAATGGTGATGATATGAGTGATTGTAATAATAATGATATTGATAAGCGTAATGATAACGCTAGAAATTATAATGGTGAGGATGGTGATAGTTGATAATAATAATGATGGTGATGATTATTGTAACAACATCCTAACAACCACAATGACATTAATAATAATAATAGTAATGGTAAAAAAATTATAATATTGTTATTGTTCTTAATGTTGTTATCGTTATTATCACCATTAACTGATCGATAAATTAATGATTAAAGTAATCTTCAAGTTTTGCGAAACGACCATATTTTTTTTGATATTATAAGGAGTTCAGTTACCTTTATTCTTATTATTTATTGATCTATATTATATCTATCTATCTATCTATATCTATCTATCTATCTATCTATCTATCTATCTCTATCTATATCTATCTATATCTATCTGTCTATCTATCTATCTATCTATCTATCTATCTATTTTTTACTTTTTATTTATTTTTACTTATTTATTATTTTTTTAACCAACGATCACTTCAGTCAATGAGACCTAAAAAAAATGCATAATTTGATAATACTGATGATTTGATTGTGGTTGCTGAGATCGTTATCAAACTCACTTTTTATCGGCACTGAGTTGCGGTCCTAGAGGGGGAGGGGGGATGGGACGGGGAAAATAGGAGAAATAAATGCGATTGTAAAAAATAATGATAATGGTAATGGTGATGATGGTGGTGGTGGTGGTGGTGATGATGATGATGATGGTGATGTTGATGGTGGTGGTGATGGTGATTAATGATAGTGGTTGTGGTGATGGTGGTGGTGTGATGGTGATGATGATGGTGGTGATGGTGGTGATGATGAATGATAGTGGTGATGGTGTGGTGATGATGATGATGGTGTAGTGATGGTGATGGTGATGGTGATGATAATAGTATATGATAATGATATTTGTGGTAATAATAATGACAATACATAAGGTAATAATAATGAGAACTGTGATGGTAATACTAATTAATAGATCAGTGCAGTTAATCTGATAGTTATCCAGTCACTCCCATAAGTATACATCAACATCAATGGATTTCCGGGTGATTTATATGGCTTATTCACCCCCCCCCCCTTCCTCTCGCCTCAGATCTACCAGATATCCTCATTATCCTCATTATCCTCATTATCCTCATTGGAAACAGCCCCCGGAAGCACATGAACAGAAGCAATTCTATGTCCATTTAAAACACACTTTTAGATGAGATTTTTTTTTTTTTTTTAGATGAGATTTTTAAAAAAGTTTGTTCTTCAAAGGAACAAATATTTTTTGAGTAATTTTAAGTTGTTCTTCCAAGAAACAACAAATATCTTTGAGTAATTTTGAGTTTGTTCTTCAAAGGAACAGCAAATATTTTTGATTATATTTTTTGTTGTTCTTCCAAGAAACAACAGATATTTTTGAGTCATTTTGAGTTTGTTCTTCAAAGGAACAAATAGAGTTTTGAGTCATTTAAATGCTTGTTCTTCAAGGATGTTATGCATGCACGTCCTGTTCTCGAGACGCCCACGGTAATGTTATTGACAGCGTGTCTGCGTGGGTGATGGCGGGCTGGGGGAGGGGGGGGAAGGGGAGTTGCAAGTTGTCGTCTTAGAGTTTGTGCAAATGGTGGTGGTGGTGGTGGGTTGGGTGTTAGGGTGGTGTTGGTGTGGGTAGAGTAGTTGTGGTGTGGTGGGTAGTGGTGGTGGTGTAGGTAGTTGTGGTGGTGGTGTGGTGGTTGGTTGGGTAGTTGTGATGGTGATATGAGTGGTAGTGAGGGTTGGTGGTTTGTTGATGGTGTTGTGGTAATAGTACCGTTGGGGGGGTGGGGCTGTATTTTAGGATTCTTTTTTTTTTTTCATTCTGTTTCTCTTTGTATTTCCTTCTCTCTCTCTCTCTCTCTCTCTCTCTTCTCTCTCTCTCTCTCTCTCTCTCTCTCTCTCTCTCTCTCTCTCTCTCTCTCTCTCTCTCTCTCTCTCTCTCTCTCTCTCTCTCTCTCTCTCTCTCCTCTCTCTCCTCCCTCTCTCCTCCTCTCCCCTCCCTCCCTCCCTCTCCCCTTTCCTCTCCATTTCCTTTCCTCACTTTCTCTTTCTCATCCTCTTTTCTTCTCTTTTTTTTTCTTTCTTTCTCCCTCCCTTCCGTTCTGTTAGTGGAGTACATTAACCTGCGTTTTTGTCATTATTTGTGTGTATGATTTTTCTCTTTTTTTCTACTCTCCTTTTTCCCTCTTTTTTTTGTCTTTTTTGTTCCAAAGTATATCCCTGAACTTCACTTCCGGTCTGGATGACCAGTGACAATAGCCAAGGCCTCCCCCCCTCCCCCCATTCCCTCTTTCTCCTCCCCCCCACCCCACCCTGTACCTTCATCCCTATTCTCTTTTTCCAACCCTGACCCTTTCCCTCCTCCCCCACCCCACTCCCAACACTCCCCCCTCCCACTCCCCTTTCGATCTCCCCCTTCCCCACTCCCCCTTCTCCCTCTCCCTACCCCCTCCCTCTCTTTCCACCACCACCCCCAACCCCTCCCCATCCCCCCTCCCCCTCCCCCTCCCCCCTCCATCCCAACCATAGTATCCCTCGCACGGACCCCATTGTCACCGCACCGCAGCATCGTCATCGGCGTCACTTTCAGCATAGTCATCATCATCATCATTGTCGTCATCGTCATCATCGTGGCAATCATCCTGAGCCTTTATAACCCTATTATCATTTCCTTTTGCTTTGACGGGGTCTCTCTCTCTCTCTCGGTCTTCATCGTCTCGGTCTTTCGTTCTCTCTTCTGCCTCTGTTGTGTGTTGTGTTGTTCGCTCTTTCGCTCTCTTCTCTCTCTCTCTCTTCTCTCTCTCTCTCTCTCTCTCTCTCTCTCTCTCTCTTCTCTCTCTGCCTCTCTCTCTTCTCTCTCTCTTCTCTCTCTCTTCTCTCTCTCTCTCTCTCGTCTCTCTCTCTCTCTCTCACTTTCTNCTCCTCCTTCTTTCTCTCCTCCTTCCCCCACCACCCTCTCTTTCCTCCTCCCTCACCTCCTTCCCACCTCCTCTCCTTTCCTTCCCCCACCACCTCCTTCCCCCACCACCATCCTTCCCCAAACCTCCTCCTCACTCCCCTCTTCCTCCTTCCTCCTCCTTTCCTATCCTCCTCCTCCCCACCACCCTCCTCCTTCCCCCCCTTCCCCCCCCACCCTCCTCTCCTCCTCCTCCTATCTCCTCCTCCTCCTCCTTCTCCTTCTCCTTCCCCTTCCCCCACCACCTCCTCCTTCCTCCTCCTTCCCCCATCCCTCCTTTCCCACCACTCCTCCTTCACCTCCCCCTCCTCCTTTCTCCTCCTTCCCCCACCTCTCCTTCCTCCTCCTCCTTCCCCCCCCCTCCTCCCTCCTCCTCCTCCTCCTCCTCCCTCCCTCCCCACCTCCTCCTCCTCCTATTCCTCCTTCTCTCCTCTCCCCCCCACCACCCCCTCCCCCCTCCTTCTTCCTCCTTCCTCCTTCCTCCCACCAACGCCACGCAGAAGCGCCAAGGTCGAGCGAAGCCTGTTTTGATGGCATGTTTAATGAAGAGAGTAGCAAATAAAGTCGATATAAAAAGGTGTGTATTGCACGTTTCATCATCGACAAAAATATTACGCGTGCAGTGATGTGAGAGGGAGAGGGAGACAGAGAGAATGGGAGATAGAAAGAGGGAGGAGGGAGAGAGATGAGAGAGGGAGAGGGAGGGGAGGGGAGAGAGGAGAGAGAGAGAGATGGAGAGGGAGAAGGAGAAGGGAGAAAGGGATAGGGTCAGGGAGAATAGGAGATAGAAAGTGGGAGGGAGAGAGAGATGAAAGAGAGGGAGAAGGAGAAGGGAGAGAAAAGGAGAGGGACAGGGACAGGGAGAAATAGGAGATAGAAAGTGGGAGGGAGAGAGAGATGAGAGAGAGGGAGAAGGAGAAGGGGAGAAAGGGAGAGGGACAGGGAGAATAGGAGATAGAAAGAGGATGGGAGAGGGAGAGAGAGAGAGAGTAGGAGATAGAAAGAGGGAGGGAGAGAGAGATGAGAGAAAGGGAAGGAGGAGAGAGAGAGAGAATTGAGAGAGAGGGGGGGGAGAAAGAGAGCAATGACTTAGAGGGAATGGAGAGGGAGACGGAAAGGAGGGAGGGAGGCAGAGAGGGAGTGAAAAGGGTTAGAAATATAAGTGTACAGTGATATATGAGAGAAAGAAAGGAAGAAAGAGAGAAATTTATCAAGAAGGAGTGTATGAGGAAGAGAGAGTAAGAGAAATACGAGAACCAAGAAAGACCGAAACTAATGACTAAAAGACAGAGACAGATACATAGAGGAAGAATTTCAGTAAAATGGATGTGTGTATGTGCGTGCGTGCGTGTGTGTGTGTGTGCACGTGTGTGTGTGTGTGTTAATCGTGTCTATGTGTGTGTGTTATTCGTGTCTATGTGTATGTGTGTATGTGTGTGCTCGTGTGTGTGTGTTGTGTAATCGTGTCTATGTGTGTGTGTATTCGTGTCTATGTGTATGTGTGTGTGTGTGTGTGTGTGTGTGTGTGTGTGTGTATCGTGTCTATGTGTGTGTGTCGTGTCTATGTGTATGTGTGTGTCTGTATGACTGTCTGTCTGTCTACGTGTACCTGTGTCTGTATATGTACGTGTGTGCATATCTACGTATGTTTATGTGTTCTTGTGAGTCTATGTGCATATACGTTTCCACTTATTTGTGTATTTAAGCATTTCTGTAAGTATCAACCACGCATGCATGGATATACGTCTGAGGTAAGTGAATGTGTTAGTTGTTCTCCCAGTCGCTAGATGGCTCCCCGCGTCGTAGGAGCGTGGGCTAAGGCTATATATTTCGTTGTCGCTTTGCACTTGGCCCGGTCAGTCTCTGCAGCGGCGTGGGTGGGCCGAGGGTGCAGACGCTGGCCTGGGGTGGGGGTGGGTGGGGAAGATGGGGATGGGGGGATGGGGGATGGGAGGGAGGGAGGATGGGGAGGGATGGGGGAGAGGGGGAGGGGGATGGGGGATGGGAGAGGGTAGGGAGAAGGGGAGTTGGATGGGGAAAGGGGAGGGGGGAGTAGGACGCAGGGGAGGGGGGGGAATGGAATGGGGAGAGGTGAGTGGGATTGGGTGGGGAAGGGTGAAAGGGCGACCGAGATGAGGGAGGGGGGCGTGAGGGAGGGGGAGCCAAAACATACTACTGTTTCGTCACTCTTTCATTTAGTTTTAATTATTGTAATTAAAAGTTTCGGAATTAATTAATGTCGCTCTTTTATATATTTGCTCTGGTATTGGACTCCCTCCGCTTTGACTCCCCCACCCCCACCCCCTTCCCACACCCCTCCCTCTCGTCTCTCTCTCTCTCTCTCTCTCTCTTCTCTCTTCTCTCTCTCCTCTCTCTCTCTCTCTCTCTCTCTCTCTCTCTCGCTCTCTCTCTCTCTCCCTCTTCCTCTCTCTCTCTCCCCTCTCCTCCCTCTCTCTCTCTCTCTCTCTCTCTCTCTCTCTCTCTCTCTCTCTCTCTCTCTCTCTCTCTTCTCTCTCTCTCTCTCTCTCTCTCTCTCTCTCTCTCTCTCTCTCTCTCTCTCTCTCTCTCTCTCATCTCTCTCTCTCCTCTCTCTCCCTTCTTCCTTCCCTCCTCCCTTCCCTCCCTCCCTCATCCCCTACCTCCTCTCTTACCCTTCCTCCCCCCTTACTCCCTCGCCCTCCCTTCCCTTTCACCCTTTCCTTCAACTCTCCCCTTTCTACTTCCTTCCCCTCCCCTTCCCTCCCTCCTCCTCTCTCCTCCTCCCTCCTTCCTCTCCACTCTCCCTTCCTCCTCTCCCTCCCTCCCTCCCTCCCTCCCTCCCTCACCCTCTTTCCCTCTCCTTTCCTTCCTCCCTCCCTCTTCCTCATTCCCTCCCTCCCTCCATTAAAGCAAAGGATGGACACAGTATCTCAAGTCAGGAAAATTTGAGGGCAGTTCGACTAAGATGTAGATGAGGCAGTGGGACAAAGAGAAGAAGTGAGGTTGGTGGGGTAGGTGAAAGGCGTGGAGGAGGGGAGGAGGAGGAGGGAGGAGGAAGAGAGAGGTGGTGGTGGAGGTGGGAAGAAAGGTGGTTGAGGAGGAGGAGGAGATGGTGTGGTGGGAGGGAAGATGTGGTGGAGGAAGAGGAGGAGGAGGAGGAAGGAGGAGGAGGAACGAAGAGGAGGAGGAGGAGGAGAGGAGGTGGTGGTGGAGGAGGAGGAGGAGGAGGAGCTGAGGAGGAGGCGGAGGTGGAGTGGGTGGAGAAGGAGGACGAGTGGTGTGGAGGGAGTTGTGGTTGGATGGAGGGAGGGAGGAGTGGAAAGTGGAGTGGTGCTGGTGGAGGAGGAGGAGGGAGGAGGAG